AATGATGGCATTTAGAGGACACACTCGTCCGTCCATGGTGCCTTTGAAGCTCACACTTGAGCCACGCCGAAGGCGCTTTTGATATAGACAGAAGGACATTACCGACAAAGACTAGGGAGACTAGAATGGCCACTTCTGGTTTATTAGCCGTCGTCAGCTAGTCATACCCAACTCAAGTGTTGCCTCAGAAATTGGTGCCCCGCGACCAAAGCCCTAACCACTGCGCCAGGGGGTCGCTGTCTTAAATATTTGAATAATCTTTTTCAAATCAAATCAAATCAAAATACCAGTGCTTATTGCTGGCTCTGGGGATGGGTTCGAGCTAGAATCCGAAATTTAAGGCAATTAAAATACTTTTTCTCAAATTTGAGAACTTCGCGTTATATTTCATTCGATAGCACATCTACTGAAAATAACAACGAAGTAGCAAATCAGCGCAAAGTATGAAATTAAATATAGAAAGTTAGCCATTGTGATTTGGCCGACGTACCGGATGCATGTTAGCCAACGGGAGAGCGGACGATACGACAGGGAGACATGGACAGGAATGGCGGCACTACCGCAGGTAGCGTGAAAGTTAATTAGCATCTGTGGCAATGTGGGCGATAGTAAGTACACATGTCCTCCCGCCTGCACGCGACTGCTGATTTGTGCAGCATGAGGTGCTGTCTTCTTGGCTAAAAACGATTGGTTGACAGAAATCCAGTGGGAGACTAACACCAACAGCCAGCGGGAAGATAGTACGAAAAGCACTACTTGTAGTAAATTCTACCATTTTAATTTCTGCAAGCGAGCAGAAAAACCATTCAATAAAATTTAGTAGGAACAACCAGGGAACCACTCGATTAGGGGAGGAAAGCCAGTGATTGGCACACGCAGAGTTAGCAAAGTGAGCAAGGGTACGACCGTCAGCGAAGTCAGAAAGGGATTTTACTCCAGTATCTCCGAGGCCAGGACCCTGCAGCCCATTTGCACTGGTTCAACGGAAGGCCGCATACCAGAGAATGCAGAAGGAATTGTAGCGACTGCTCTGGCTGCAGGCTCTTTTGAGTTGAGGAGGACATGATCTAGGCATCGGCGTTTCACAAGAGGGACGTGAGTCATCAGGCAAGGGGCACCAAGGCCCCCGTCACGTATCTTCGCATAGAGGAAGAAGATCGGTGCGTCAGCCGGCAGTTTAA